TGCTGACCCTACATAAACTATGCAGGGTTCTGTCAGGGCTGGCAGTATAAAAATCCTGCGTAAAGGTAAGAAACATCGCCAGATATTTTAATACCGATAACCCGCGGGATCCTGCGCAAAGTCCTGCAGGATCCTGCATGAATTTTGATTATTTTTTTCAGTGGGTAGAGAAATTAAATAGTGTCGAAATAGGGGTACAATGGATAAAGTTATGTGCAATTACAGTTCTAGGGGGAAAAGGAGAACTGATTTGCAAATCAACCATTGTACTGCTCGTGGATGAAGGGTCAAATAGAGTTTCAATACTAAATACAACTCTTCAAAAACTCATTAATAGCTTGACTTAGCGTATTTGTACCAAGATTGTTTAAGTGAATACCATCAGGAGTCAGCATGTTTCGGTTATATTTGCAATCAATAACATCAACATCAGATAAAGTTAATAACTGACGATTAAAGTCTTCTATGTCATGATTAAGCTGCTGTTGTAGGGATGGTTGAAAGCCTGATAATGTTAACATTGATTAAAGAGGCACGAACACGTTTTGAACAGAATGAGATAATTGGAAATTGCAGGGACATTTTTGGCGGACGTTGAAAGCCTGTGCTGAAGGTCAGACATATGAAGAGATGACATATGAAGAGATGCGAACGTTCTTCAGCTCTCTTTGTAAAGGTATAATTCAATCGCACAGAAAATAACTAATGCTGAAATTGATGATTGATTTGTCTTGAATTTTTATTTTTTTTGTTTACTTACTATTTTTTTATGTTGACTTGTCTTCTATTTAGGCTGATTTTGACAGTAGAAATATAGAACAGAAATAGGAAATCGATTACGAATCAAATAGCTCAAAAACCACCCACTATAGCAGAGAAATTTCCCTTAATAGAGCATCTACGACTCGATGCCGCCAATCAGATACTCTCACTATCACTTGTATCAGATTCAGTGTTATTTTTTATATATTCTGCATTAATTTGAACGAATTCGATGGAGATTTCTAGGAGTTATTGAAAAATCCTCTGGCCGTTTGTAGTATGTTCGGAAAGAAATGTCATTTTTTTGGCAAGGAAAAAGAAATTTTCGAAAACAGCGAAGCATACTTTTGTAGTGCATCTCAAGGCGGTTCGAATGGGGTAAGAATCAAGACTCTATCACTTTACACAAAAAACTAGATAGGTTTGCAAAGTGCCCCTCTCTCTGTTTTGAAATTCGCGCTTCAAATGTACGCCGATTCCAACTCAAAATCTGCAACTCAGGCGTGCATTTGACGGAATATTCAAAACAGAGAGAGGGGCACTTTGCAAACCTATCTAGTTTTTAGTGTAAAGTGATAGAGTCTTGATTCTTACCCCATTCGAACCGCCTTGAGACGCACTACAGAAGTATGCTTCGGTTTTTTTGAAAATTTCTTTCCTTGCCGAAAAATTGAATTACGGGCGCCTTACAATGACTCATTTATAATTTTTGTAGTTTATCAAAAATTAGTAGGTCACTTCTATTACAACACAGAATATCTTTTTTTATTTAGTGTAATCGGTCAAGAATAACAAGTATTTCGTGTATTCAACAGTTTCTCTAAGTTTATCAACTTCTGGTAGTTTATTCGCTATGCCAATTTCAAGTGCTTTTTCGAAGCTTCTTAATGCGTTTTTGTAATCTAGTTGTTCTGAATAAACTAAACCGATAAGAAAATATACCTCAAAAAAGTCAGCGTGATTACTTGATACGTCGACTTTAAGCGCTGCTTCGCCGTAAGTCATAACGGCTGACTCATTCCCTAGTTTATAGTAAACTTTTTGAAGATAACAATACGTGTTCAAAAATATTGGATCAGTTCGTGTTTGATGTTTTAATTTAATTTCAAGTTCTTTATGAATATTTTCTAGTGCTTCTTTGTACGAACAGTTCATATAGTAAGCTTTGCCAAGATAGTAATACGTATTAGCTAGCTCCAAATCATTCCTCCAAAATTTTTCTTCAATTTGATGAGCTTTATCTAGATATTCTATTGCTTTCAGAAAACTGTTCGTTTCAAAATAAACGGTGCCAATATTGTTATAAATTCTTGAAAAATTAGGATCTAATGGCTGTGAAATTTTTCCGTGAACTGTTAACGCCATTTGGTAGTAAACGAGAGCCTCGTGGTAATCTTTGTTATGTACTGTTTGATAAAAACACACGAAGAAGACAATAATGTTTTTAAGCAAAAGTCAAAAAGTTCAGAGCACATTACACGATTTGTGGACTGTATTACATTGTCAAATCTTCAAAGCAACTTTAAAAATTACCCTATCGAAATGAAATCGGAACATAAACAGACTTTCGCTCATAATTTTGTCGGATGTCCATATTCTGCAAATGCTTTATGCATTTGTATGTAACTTACTTTTACTTATATTAACAGTATCGCAGATTATTTACTCTTCTTTTTAATACTCACAGCTAATATGTAAAGGTTTTCAAGAAAACCTTAAGGTACATGGACGGACGACTAAATGCGCTGGGCCTAGTGTCACTAAAGTATTCAGGTACTAAAAATGGGAATGAAATTTATTGAATGAATCTTTTAGATCTAAATAAGCTTTGAATGACATTTCATTTCTGCATTACAAAGCAGAGTCACTGAAAGCTTGGACGAGGACACTACTAAACAGGTCACCAACACGGCCCTTCAGTGGTATCCTCCTCGAAGCTTTGGGTAACTGTGCTTTGTCCGAAAAAATGAAATGTCATTCAAAACTTATTTAGATCTAAAAGTTTCATTGAATGAATTTCATTCCTATTTTTATTATCTGAATGCTTTAGTGACACCAAGGTCAGAGCATTTAGCCGTTTATCCATGTTCTCAACGGCCAAGAAGTCTGAACCTTCTCAACCATTCTCGATTTGCAAATCTCGAGTAAATCACAGCTTCTTACTTTTCTTCTCATATGCGGATGGATATACTCAACTTTTCACGAGATGCACTGGATTTCTCTAAAATATTAAGCATAGTCAAGATTTTCTTCGATATTAGCTTATCATACCCTTTGGTCTGTGTATATCAGATTACCAAAAGTTGTGAATTTTCCAGCAAAGGAAAAGACTTTCAAATTCAAAAGTAGGCTAGAAAAATGTTACAAAGTAAGAAGAACTTTCTATCAAAACGAGATGCTCGAATATTATATGCTTTAGAGCAACAAAAAACGAGTTCTTCCCAAAACATCGTTTGTACATACTTTGTACTGTTAGTTTTCCGATCTTTCGTCATTAGTATCTTGCGAAGGATAGGTGGTTTGACTTGAAATTCCTATCCTTTTTTCTCTTCTTATGCTCTCGCGTAGTCAAAAAATGACCTGTAAACATTCGATCATCCTGGAGAAACACGTCGAAAACTCTTATAATGCTTGTCTCCAAGATGATCGAATATTTTAATTAAATTGGGATGAGTATCGATTAATGATACATCATTCGATTCCTTCTCTATAGGCTGATCGAACTGTATAAGCAAAGAGTGGACTAAAGGTACTTTATGACAGAGTTTTCTATGGTGTAATGAACAGCAAGGCCTTCACAGCAGGAAAGAACAAGTCGAATGACGACGACGACAGGTTTCTCAAAGTGCTATATTAACAATTTAAATGTACAATGTAGAACAGTGAGTTGAACGACAGAAGGGAAAGACAAAATATATTCCGACATGCCTAAGCAAAAATAGTGTTTTTGGACCTAGTTAAAGCTAGCTGAAAAGGAAAACATTTACGTAGCTTGAGCTAGCTTATTGCTCCTTTTCTGTTTAGCATAAACTAGATTCAAAAAAACTTTTCTTGCTTGGGTGGGTAGTTTGAACTGAAATTTTGAAACATGATAGAATAGCGAGTAGTGCTTACATTTTCTTAACATCATCGTCGCAACATTTTCCAATGACCAGAAATGTCGATCGATATAAAAGGATTTAATTTACAGACAACCGAAAGAATTTTTTACAGTCACTTTTAGATACTTCGATATTGACATTTACAGTTTCAAACTTTTGGAGTATTTTGATGCTCACATGATAGTCTGAAACGATCAGAATTTATTTTCCAGTAGGAAGACGAAATTCTAAGAAGAAAGTCCACAATAGGAGCGAGAGTGGACCATGACTCACTAGCTCTTAGCAAATCAATTCTTACTGCGTCTGATGAAAAATTTCCTTTTAAGAATCAAAGGATCAAAACAGAGCAGTTGAGGAGATGAAAAGATTGAAATTTTCTGGTTTAACTTAAATTTTGTGCATTCGTTAGTGCTTTTCGAATCACTTGTAGCGTAGAGATGCATATCACACAAACAAAAAAGCGAGACTGGACCCGAGTAAAAAGGAAAAAAATGTTTCTCACAAATCACTGGGAAAAAGAAAGAACTTTTTTGTCTGGCCTTGAAAACCGTTCGGATACGCCGGATACGCTGCTGATACCAGAAGAATATATCAAAATCCTCTTCCAGAGCTACCTGCCGACTTACTAGACTCTTCACCAAACGATAATATAAAATGATGTTTAACATAATTTAGAGTGCCGCGAATGTATTGACCTGAAGCATCCATCTGAATATAAATTGTATACATACACCGATACGTCCACAGAAGATGGTGACTAATTCTCTATTCATAGATGTTTGCGTGTGACAGTGCCTTGAGTCCTGAGAATGCTTGAAATAGTACTGGATAACTCATTTGCATGCGTCTCAGTCCTCCCTTCGTTACTTCCAAATCCCAAGCATTCGTACACATATAGGCATCTAAAAACGTATATAGTCTCTGGATCGAGTAAAATCCCAACCATTCATACGATCGCTAAATCACACGCAAATTCGCATATTCCTTCGACTGTTGTATAAAATAAAATGACTGCGCGCTTCATTGCTTGTTTGCAAAAGAAGAAAAAGCAAAAGAATGCACTTACAAGGGAACTTTTTCACATGTCCAACTCGTTTCGACTCCATCTTTTGGCCATAAGTAGACCTCGACGAGGTATGAAAAGCCAAATGGATTCATTCCCTCAGGTCTTTGTTTCGGAGATATGGAATTTTTAAGATAAAAATGCGTAAAAAGGCGTAAAAATGATTTTTGTATAGTTCCATACAGTGCTTGTCTGTCTCCTATGGAACTTTCGAAAATGAAATGGTTCACAGAAAATAGGGTTCTAAGATGCTCGATTCATAAGACGATGTGTTCTGGGTTGAGAACTAGATCGAATTCTTCCAGCGATGCTTCTCACTGTCCATTAGCTGGTAGACTCTAAACAAAAATTTGTGTGTTTCTCGTTCGATGCTGCAATATGTACTGCAAACTCATGCGATGCGGCCCCTTTCATCTGCTGCAACTGTTGCCACAAACCACTGTGTTTAATTTATTTTTTTCTAGACTATCACTTCCACTGATTTTCTTCCGTAAGGTTTTGTGTGATTAAAATGGCGCCACAAAGAAAATAGAGAATTTGAAAGTTCTCAATCAGCTGAGGGGCAGTGAGAAGCACCGCTGGAAGAATTCGATCTAGTTCTCAACCCAGAACAAGTTGTCTTATGAATTGAACATCTCAGAACTCTATTTTCTGTGAACCATAGGTAGTTTCATTTTCAAAAGTTCCATAGGAGATAGACAAGCACTGTATGGAACTATACAAAAATCAGTTTTACACATATCTTAAAAATTCCATATCTCCGAAACAAAGTTCTGAGGGAATGAATCCATTTGAGGTTTTTCATACCTCATCGAGATCTACGTACGGCCAAAAGATGAAGTCGAAACGAGTTGGACTTGTGAAAAAAGTTCGCTCGTTAGTGGTTGTAATAAAGATTAGAGTCAATATGATTGTGCTTATTCGATATGGAGAACATGAATAATCCAGGAGAATACCCTCCTCATGGTAGAACACTCAATCACCTTTTCTATTGGCCGAAACAACTCAGTTTTTATACTGCTCTCTCAAAACCGAACAATGTGAATAAAGACATATCTAAATTTCTGAACATCTAATTGGAACAAAAATTTTGCATTTTTACATATGCAGTATCAAATTTTTGTACTAGTTCGATATTTCTGTATTTACATAGTGCAAAAAAGTAAAACACGAAGTGGTTTCAACTTTTGAAATGTAACATCGGTTTTTCAAAATGCAAAATCTGTTCTTTTGCGTTCTGATATGCAAAATGCCAAAAACAAACGGAACATAGGTTGCATCTTCTTAAACGGAAAATGTCGCTGATGGATCTTAGTCATTATGTGATATAATTCATTTTTATTGCACGATCGGAGGTTCCTATACAATAATAAGAGCCTACATCATCTTTGTTACTTGGATTGTCTACCGCTTCCGATAGAATTTCATAGGATCCTAGTACGACTCTCCAACCTGAGATGTATTTCTCTGCCTTCCTTGGCACATGTATAAAAGAAAGCAACTTTTTCAACTGTATCACTGTAGTAAAACCAGTTTGGAAGTAAGTGTTTAAAAGCAAAATATCACGTTAGAACAAAATAGGTTTTAACTGATTAAATTGAAATCTGTCATATTAACTATTACTATCATTTTTTTTACTTAAAAACTTTTTAGCTTATTTTGAAAATGATTTATTTTCTTCGTACCTTCTTTGCGTGTATATATTCTCCACATTCACAGATAAAATTAGAGAAAAAAAATTCCTTTTTATCACGAAAGCTTTTGAATTTCAATCCTGCATCAAAATAGTAATTTTTTATTCTCTTTTGGTCTAGTCATTTTTCAACAAAAAGTGAATAAATTACAGCTAAAACGTGAAGAAAAATAAATGAACGAGAAAGGAATAAAAACAACCACATACATGCGAAAAGCAAAAAGTACAGAAAAGAGAGAAGTAATACACAGTATTGATGCTTGTATGAAGCTGGCATTGAGGCTTTCAGACGAAAAGAGAAGTTGGAACACTCAAGCAGCCACTCTCTCGACTGAAAAATAGATCTCAAAAAATAAATGAGCCATTTTGTAGAGAATTGAATTTTTTATTCAATATGTTTTTAAACTTTTTGAACAAAAGGTCTGAATCAGAAAATTGAAATTAAAGTTTAATTTTAAATTAAAACTTTTATATTGAAAATTAATTTTTTCGTCAAAAAAACACTCAG